AAAGTAAAAAAATGTGTATCATTTATTATTATTTCTCAACGAGAAGTCTTATTCCGGTTAAATGAACCTGTTTCGAAGCTTTAGGTATATATCGTACATTATGAATGACTCATACATTGTAGACGCGTCCGTTTCTAACGAATATCAAATAGGGAGGATCCAAATATCGTAACGATATTATTATAAACTAGCTGTCGCCTGTGACGCTCTCCGCGCGGAATTAAAAAAAAACTTAATGAGTAACCTATGTGTTATTTCCATCGATGCCAAATTTCAGCGATATCTGTTGAGCCGTTCCGGAGATACCTTCAAACAAACATCCATCCATCAATCTAAACAGTAGTAAGATAATAACTATGTTCGTTAATTAAAAACCTAAAACTCTACTAACTGTATAACCCCATGACATTCATTGTTGCGACACTAATAATTTTGTCATTGATATGACGATCATTTGTTCCGTATTATTCCCTTCAGTTCGCACTCTAAAGGGAAGAATACGGCTCGAATGAAACCTCATTAGTGAATACCGGAATATTCTTGTTATCTACAGGTTACAATAAAATAAGCATACATATTTAAAAACTCCAGTACATAAATAAAATAAAAACACACTTTTAAACACATATGCTTAAAGTTGCCAATAAAGAAAAAGATGCAGTTAAACAACTGTTTTTTCTCACGAACTACGAAGTTACCCTGCAATATTACAATAATACATATATTATTATAATTTAAAAAAAAAATCAACGTGCTTATGAATGGTACAAGTTTGAATTCGCTCGCTTGAACAGTGGTAGAGCCCGCTTTAACATCTTCGCTCGAATTGGCCTGGCTCGCTCGGTGAAATACCACGACCACACAGAAGACAGGCGTGAAGTGGAAACAATTCCGCGTTTTGTCTGATGAGTGTGGGTCCTGGAGGCCTAATTAAGTCCTCTTTCCCTTCCCACCCTTTTTCTTATAAGAAAAGGATGGGAAGTGAAAGTGGACTTTCCGGATGAGAGGATGCATGGAAAGGTAAAATATTTTCTTTCTGTGCATCCTCTCCTCCGTCGATCAAAGGTAGGCAACGCATATGCAATTGCGTGTGTCTATGGGCAACGGCCACTTCGCTATTTCAGCGATTTCAGGTGGCCGCTCGCTCGTTTGCCACCTTATGATATAAAAAGAATAAAAACTTATCCCTTGTTCTTGAAGATCAAAGTTCTATATTCGTTGACCTTTATCGCAAATTAGATAGAGGATATAGGAGCGGTACTATAAATCTTATTTTATTAAATTGTAACCTATAACATCTTGAAATGTTTTATACTATTTCAATATTAACGATAGAGATCATTTAAGTTGTGTATTTTAAAGAAGTTTTTTTCTAATATATCATTTATTTGTTCTTTATATTAAAGTTAATTATTTATTTTCTACAATCATCACTCACGTCTGATATTTGAATTACTTTTGTAGATGTTTTTATTCTTTTGTACTATTATACCGGCCCGAGCTATCTTATTAATAATGAAGTTTGTTTGTGAAAACGTCTGTATGGAGCTCTGTGAAATTTGCCATAGATGAACATAGTCTAGAACAACATATAGGCTAATAATACCTTTAATCTGAACGGAAAGTGTCGCAGGCGACAGCTAGTACAGTTTATTATTATTAAATCACCAAACTATATTTTATTATAGTTTTGATTTTAATGTCTTTTGATAAACTGTCTTTCTTTACGTCTTGTTTTAATCAGTTATTTTTTATTTTTTTTATCGCGCATTGCATCATATAAATTATTTAATGAATTTATAATATTAAAATGTAAAAAAAGCTGAAATCTTGTTTGACTAGGTATACATGATTTTTGTCGCAAACATTAAGCCTTGATGGTTTCGTGGTATACTTTTATTAATTTTTTTATAACCATCGAATTAATACTACTTAAAGACAACAAAAAAACATCTTTGTATCATAAAAACGTGTGTATATCTCTTATATTTTCCGGCTTGGGTAGTTCTATAGAGATGAAAACGGTCTAAGTTCACGGCCTTTAACATTACGTAAAATAAGACAAGAATGCGACAGAAAATGTGGATATTTTTTTGTTAGTTTTGAATTAAATTTGAATAATATTTAGATTACGTTCGAATACAGAATTAGTTCACAAGTTTTTTTTTAGTTTTTTGATTGTTATACTTAAAGTATTCAAACGCTGTGTTTGAATTTCTTTCATATCGATTCATCCGTCATGGTTTGCAATTTGCTTTCTATTTGAGACGCCTGCAACTTCGTCCGCTTGGAATACAAACAATGTAGCATATAATACGACCGCGTGCAACAGCTACCTTTCCATCCATGTCCCGATAAATTCGGTCCAGCCATTCCAGAATTTACCCGAAACAAACGTGGCTTTACGGACATACATACAGACAGACAAATATACAAGTGCAAATACATCATGTGTGAGATTTATTAATTTTTTCAGTATTGCATACAGACATTCTAATTTTATTAATATAGTATAGATGTGACATATCATTAGGAAAGTATAATTGAAACAAAAGGAGGTCATTGCCCTTTATTTTATTTGTATCAGAATTGAATCAGATTTTAGAACATATTTAATTAAATTAATTATACTTATTAGCATCATCAGAATCCTTTGATTCGCAGCGTGTTTAACGATGTGTCCATACTATATGAACAATCAGTTGTAATATCTAGTTTATATATTTAATAAATACTCATTCGTTAATTTATGTAATTTAACAAGCTACTGTTGTCTTTATTTGTACGAATAGTATGCACTTAGACATTTTTTCTTTGCAATAATATGTTTTGTAGTGACACTGCACAAACGACAAACAATAGATGTAGGCAGAAACCACGGAGTTCCATTTGACGCGATCCTGGCAATATCAGTTTAGCATCTAATACCGCCTTTTTTGACTATTCCAGTGTGGACGGTACAAATCCGTTTAGTATGGTCTTTGCTGTTTGTTAATCTCCTTACACCATACATGACCTTTCAATAGCCAACCTTTAAAGGTTTTTTTTTGCTTTAAATAAACACTCAATAATTAAAAAAAACAATTTTAAAAGTTCATAATAACATCAAGTAAAGTGTAATGTCTAATATGTCAAATGTCAAATAACATTTTCGTCAATTTGATAACTTTAAATGCTGATTGAAGAATGCTTTTAATACATAAAGATCTGTAAGGTATTTTAAAATACATCGTTTTAAAATAAGTACATTATGGAATTGTTTAAAGATAAAATTGTTTTGATCAATAAATAAGAAAAAAAAAATTGTCATACAGTCTCTATTTAAATACATGCTACATCCTGATAATTGTAAATAATGAAACCTAAACACACAACACTGTCAAATTGCTCTTGTGCTGTCGTGACAGCACAAGAGCAATTTGACAGCTGTTACAGTCTTCTTGACCGTTCATGAACCTGACATTCAATATTTACCCATTAATAAAACAAATAGAGCAAGAACCTATTTACTAAACAAACAACTAAACACATGACATAATGTTTTTGTCAGTTACATACATTTTTAAATATACTTTTATTTTACTTTTGTAAGATAAAAGTATATCTTTCCTTTTTTTTAATACCTGCTTAATAAAGACGACCTGTGGTAGATAAGATTCAAAGGGATAACCACCTTCTTTTAAAAGTCGGCAAAAAAGTAGTAATTCTAATTGCAGTTTAGAAACATTAATTATTGGTTTACACTAGATTTTTGTTAGAAAAATAATAAGGAATAGTTAGAAGATTTTCGGTTTAATTGTCGCCTTAGGCTATTTTAAAAACGTTCTACATACAGCTCAGGTTTTTTTTACGATTTAAAGTGCCAAGTATAAAATTTATGCCGTTCTCAGATTAATGAATCTGATTTTTTCTTTTTCTTTTTCTTTATAAATAAAAGAAAACGTTGGGAATGTTTCTGGCCCTAGAATTTTACTGTATTCTTGTAGTTTACTGTACGATTCAACCTTTTTTTATAATATGACAAGTTTGCAGACGAGTAAGCAATCACTTAAATGCCCAGACATATTGCAGAAAAGAATAGATAGATAGATAGAAATAAGAGATCACTGCACAAAGATATCCGCAATTGCAGATACGTCGCCTACGTCGGAAGAGGGAACGTACAGAAAGGGATTGTTTCCCTATCCCTTCGTCAAATCCACTTCCCCTTTCCGTCTATTCTTTATAACAAAACGGTGGGATGGAAAAGAAGACTAAAATTAAACCTTCATCACGCACAATTCTCGACCAAAATGCGAAATTGACTACACTTGACGTCTGTCTTTTGTATGATCGTGGTATTGAACCGAAGCAACAGACGTTTTTGCTGGCATCTACTACTATTGAACTTAAGATTTCTTTAATAAAACTATAGCAATAACATTCTATAAAAGTTATACAATTATTTGTTTAAATTGTAATGTTAAGCATCAACTTAAAACCGGTATCATCGCTCTCGCTCTTAATATGTTTTGTTAAAGCAATTAAATATTTTTACAAAACAAAGTTATGTTTAAGTTAACAAGGGCTTTATAACTATTATATATTGATGAAATTAAAAATTGTTTATTGTAATAAATATTTACTACAAACGGATATTTATTACATTATGTTATGTTAATTGGAGATTTAGCAATCAATCTTTCATAAATTAATATCTATATCTGTCAAAACTATATTTTGTATAAAGGTTTTTATTAAGTTTAATTAAAAAAAATGGATATCTAAATTCTACAATAATACATATAAATTATACAGTAATAATATCTATATTTTTACTCTAAGTTTTAAATGTAGTGTTTTAAATCGTCATTTTATTAAAAAATATAATACTTTTTAGAAAAATATGATTCCCATAGATTATACCATAAATGACAAAAATAGATAGCCCAAGTTTTATTTTAAATATAGTTCCTCACACTAGCGTCAAATTATTTAAATGTTATTGCAATTCGGCGGCTAAAGTGGGTGGATCCATGAATTATATAAAAGCCTGCGCGGATTTTTTACCCGCATTCGAACTAGTTCATCCAAGCTAGACAATCCTAAATCAAAATGAGAACCTTCGTAAGTTAAAGTTTTAAAAAGAATGATTATTAAATAATAAAAAATATATAATTAATTTCATCAATCAATTAGTGATAATAGATTTAAATTATTTAAAATGAGATTTGTTTTGTGTACAGGTTGTCGCGATGGCGTTGCTGGCCGTGGCCGCCGCCCAAACCCAAACCCCCTCCACCCCTAGATCGACATTTGACAACTTCGGATTCCCCGTGCAAAACAAATACAACCAGTACAACCGCTACAACCGCTACCAGAACCAGTTCAACCCATACGGCCAATACCAGAACTACCAGGGACAATACCAAGGACAATACCAGGGACAATACCAGCCCTTCCAATACCAGAACCAGAACCGTTACACGAACCCTACCTACAAACCCTTCGTATTCAGCACCACCGCTGCCCCCGCCGTCTCCTCCGCAGCTCCCCCCGCGGTCTCCTCCGTCGCTCCCGCCGTCACCCCCGCCGCCGCTCCCTCCCCAGCCCCCTCTGCGGTCCCAGCCTTCACAGCTCAATCCCCAGTCATCGCTGCCAAGGTAGTCTCAAGCGACGCAGCCGCTTCCATTCTTAAATTCGGCAATGAAATCAACCCTGATGGCGCTTACAACTACTAGTAAGTGTTCAACATAAATCAAAAAGTAATTCCATTGATCTTTCTGTATTTGAATTTGAAAAATAAATATTTTATTACAGCTTCGAAACCGACAACGGTATCGCCGCCCAGGAGCAAGGTGCGCCCCGCAACTTCGGTGGCAACCCACCCGTCTCCCCTGATGTAGCCCAGGGTTCTTTCTCATGGACCTCCCCCGAGGGTGAAGTGATCTCTATCTCATACGTCGCTGACGAAAACGGATACCAGCCTCAGGTATGAGTTAACATTATAAAATTTACTAGATAATGTCGATTCTGAGTCTCACTTTGACTTCCTTTACATTTCTACTTGAATTTATGTAATGGAGTAAATCGACAGCAATACACTTTAACTGACTTCTTTCGATAACGACACGATACTATTTCAAGTCCGATATCTGTAAGTTTAAAGATTTCAAACGAAAACATCGTTTCGACAAATTATCAAGGTTTTTGCTTTTGAAATAATTTTAATTCGTAACTTTCTTTTCCAGGGTAACGCCATCCCCCAGCCCCCTGAAGTGCCCCCACAAATCGCCCGCGCTCTCGCGTACATCGCCCAATACAGCCCCGTCCAAAAGGAGTAAATTGAAGCTTCGTTTATTCGAAGAAACGTACTTCGTTTAATATAACGAAATCCACCTAATAAATAGATTAATTTAATACTCTTTGTGTCATAAAATATATAATAGATTGTGATATGATTGTTATAGATCAACATATACTATACTGAATGTACCTTTGTTTATGAAGAAATAAAAAAAGCTATAGTTAATTTCCTACACAATTCTATCCTTTTAATCTTTTGACCTTGATTAAAGTAAGTAGTAAATAAGTAAAATAAAAGAATCTCAAACTCAAGTGCAAGTTTGTGAAGGTGTGTGTCAAGAACGCGTCTAATTGAAATCCGCGGTCTCTGCTTACCCCTCTAGGTTAAGGGCATGTGTTTTGTTACGATCAAAAACATTTCATGATTGTGGTTTTTAATAACGTTTCGAGTATTCAATTTAACGTGACATCTTATTTTGTAAGAATCTCAATTTTTAAACGGTATTCTAGATCTTACTTAACACAAAAAACATTAAATAATGAAACAACATATAGGTTAAATAAATTTATTTGTTCTTAAATAGAATTACAAATATCTCATCATACTTGAAGTTATGATAAAATTAGTAAATCATAGTGTTTAATGTCTAGTTACAAAGAAAGTTGAACATTTCACTCTTCGCTTTAAATACTGATTGTTAAAATTTGATTTTATTTATTTACAACATCAAAAGTCAAACCTTTACCTTCATTCTTTTCTTAAATATATGTATTTATATTTTAATGTATCACCTTGACACGGTTGTTTTACTAAATGTCACTTAATCTATACTTATTATCATAATAATGCGATGTTCTGGATTATTTTTGTCAAGTTTATTTGTTTTCTTATGAGCGACAGTCACTAAAATATCAATTTTTCTTTTATTATCTACGAATATTATTAGTCATAATTTATCGATTTGACTTCTGTAATCAAATATGAAAAAATGTCTCGTGAAATTGATACGATTGGGGAAATTAATTTAGCTACCAAGTTTTTCTCAAACTTCTTGTTTAAACACTTTGGCAATTTTACGATTATTCGTCATGTTTAAAATCATCTTTACAAAAATAACTTCAAAAAGCATCTTAGAAGCGGACTTAGAATCCCTTACATACATTAAGAGACATTAGTAACTGATTAACAGACCAATTAAATTAAGAAATAGACGAATTAACACAGTTCCTTTTAATCTTGTCTTTTTATACTCGAGAAATCAAATATTTAAGTATATATTCTTTTGACATTTTGTAAGTCTTTATTTATAAATGCGTATATGACTCATCAATTTAAAGGTTTCCATTGTACTATCATTGAAGCAATATATTATATTATTTAGTATATTATATATCAATTGTTAGTAATCCTTGTTCTATTGTTTTATTTTAACATAATGCACTTCATGAATTTATCATTTCAACATTCAATTTACATTTATTCAATGTAAGTGCGAATTTAAATAAAACTAACATTTTTTTCTCTGCAAAAAGAAAAACTGCTCCGAATAACGCACGAGAGATTACGTAGAACACAATTTTAAGTTAAGGGATGAAGAAGTAGAGCACGTACGTGAGGGTTTTGTAAGTTCGCAGCTAGGCACGGGCCGTCATAATATTCAGTACCATAATAATAATTAATGTATATATATATTTTTTTAATACAATATTATAATACTAATTTTAAACCTGTTATATTCATAGATTATTACTGAATTATTAATAGTTGAAGATTCCCAATAATATGATAGAAAATAATATGTTGTAGTAGCGGTTGCCCGCAACTTAGCGTGGGATAAAAAAGTTTGCTTAAATTACTCTCACATACATTACGTTTTTTTATATATTACATGTATACACAATTCAATTTTATTGTATTGATGTGTTGCTAAAAGGGAATTCTTGAAGGATAAGAGCTGAATTGTTACTACCTTATAGTACGTCGTTAAATAATACAAAGGTCGGACGTATAGTCGTCGACGTTAAAAACTCTTTCCTCTTGAATGGTGATATCGCTTATTTAACTTTATTGTACGTAATTATATGAAATTAACCTATTGGCGTATCTGTATAATATAATTGTTTAGAAGTAATATATTCTTTAATATTATTATTTAGCATATATAATATAGTACATAGTAAATATCAAACGTTACAACTTCTGTTGATTTACAGTCGGTATTGCCTTGAATATAAATTTGAGTTTGTATGAATTAGTTTTATGTGTATGATAATATAAAATAATAGTTTGCATTAAATTGCGAAGTATCAATGATTAAATAAGAGTCGTTAAAAGGCGAGATGTTTTATTCTATAAGAATAATTGGATTTTTATGAAAATTATTTCATTCTTATGAAATTGTAAAAGAAAATTTTATTTTTTACTGCTATCTTGTTACCGACTACTCGCGACGTGCCCAAATGATGAGTACATTTTTGAATTATTTGAAATTAATACTCCTCGAAGATTCGGATTTTTAAGTTTCGCAACACAAATATTTATTTATAACTTTATGTAAAGGTAGCGCGACGTTATTGACACGACTTCGTCTAGGAGAATTTAAAAAAGTAAGTAATAACTATCTTCCTAATAGTGAAACAACTCATTAAATCAGTTTAGCAGTTTCAAAGCAAAAGCAAAAAGCAATCAAATCTTTTCTCTTTATCTTAGCAATGAAGAATCCTTGATAATCATAAATTTGCGGTAGAGATTAACAATTGATTTTTAATTGTAATGTCTAAGCTCAATTGTTTAGCGTGCTTTATACGGGTAAAGGAAATGTATATAGGCTTTAGAATATTTTAAAATAATACTTGGTTATTTCAAAATGCTATATAGATAGTATGACATTTAAAGTCTTAAAGTATGATTTATGATATATAGATATTTGCACTTAAGTGCGAAAATCTTATTATCAGATACAAACGACGTAGCATTTCCTGGAACTGAGTAATTCATTACTGTTATTTAAAGCATTGACTTTAGCTGATCTTGACCAGCTTTGTTTAACTTGAATCAAAACATATCAGGTCAAAAATTATTCGAATCGTCACAGGTCATTTGACTGCTAATAAGACAATTAATCGAGTTAAGTCGTATCAACCGCTATCTGATTTGTCCTTGGCTTTTATAGGTGTCATATTTATTTCAAGGCTAAATTGTTTATAGCCACGCGTCTGTGTTCTGCTCATCAGTCGGTTACGCAACTCAACAGATATTTACAACAGGTTTTCGGTGATAAATCAGTCCGGTCTACCTTAAATTTTTTATTTAAAAATAAAGAACCTTAAAATGCTTTTCCCAATTTGGCAACTTCAATGAACAGCCGACTTCGCAATCCGGTTGCCAATATGAGTATGTTTATAAATTATTGTTATTGAGAAAATTAGATGTTAAGAATGAAATAAAACTTTAACTAGTTTACTTTGGAATAGGAATTATTACATACTAGCGGTCTCTAGCGACTATGTTCTATTTGTATACCAAATCCATTCAGCCGTTCTAGAGATACCTTTAAACAAACAACCATTCATCCATCTACACATTCAATTCGTTTATAATATTAGTAAGATTAGTGTTAACATTTATACTCAAAATTTATTGTAACAATAAAACAACTATTATATGTAGTTTAGTCTAATGGTAAGTAGTTTCTACGAATGATTTTAATGGCCTGAGAGTATGTTAATAAAATTTGTGGTTAAATATATAATTGAATGATAACAAGGCGATTAAAATAGATGACCCCTCCTTAAAGTACCGTGATCGGGAGCTATAGAGATGTTGTGCCATCGTGCGGTCGCGACCTTAGCATTTGCCGTACGGAGCCACGCGGTGCACGCATCTTGCCCATTCTCGTCGAAGGAATCATCAATTAACCACATGCCTTAACACATCGTTCGACCTGCAACCGACCCTTTGAAAATCCAAATTCAAACAAAATCACACATTCATACAAAATAGCTTAAATGAAATTTTATACCTAGCTATCATTAATCATAATAATGTTATGTTATTTGCAGAATATTGTAGGATATTTAATTTTATTTACAAAAAAGTATGCCTGTCCTGGTACAAAAAGGTTTATAGCAAACATGTTATTCCAATTCAAAAAGTCGAAGTTCATTAATCGACTGACCAGGATGTTCTTTTACAATCAAGTTTCTCGCGCCTAAAATACTCTATACGGGGGCAAAGCACTCTCCATTTAGTATCTTTCATTTTAATTTTATATGTCGTCAATCATTCATGTAATCAACCGTGTTGACGGACTTTTTTTAATTTATAATTCATCAAGTTTGTTGTGATTCGTTTATTTAGTATGGTCAATGCCATTTTAATTAAAAACAAAAATAATTTATGAAATGATAAATAGTTATTTGTTCTTTATATCCTAAATAAAAAAAAGTTCCGTTTGACAACAGACGCCTATGAAGTATTGAAATAAGTTTGAGTGAAAATCAATATCGCACTTAGTGGACGGATGTTAGTGTCGCACTATACGCACATAACGAACAGCTATAAATTGTCGACAATCGGTCTTATAATAAAATTTATGGAAATTGTAAGAACTTAAGATATTTATTAATTTTTGTATTAATAAACTTATCTGGCTATGAAACACAATTAACCGTGAAAACTTCAACACAGTATTTTAAATACTAAGACTAAATAGATAATTGTTAGACTGTGACTAAATAGAAGCCTTGACCATGGGGGAAGAGTAAAGGGATGGAGGAAAGAAGTTGAGCGAGGCGATGCGATGATGACCCAACAATGCAATTAGATATGCCATGCCATTAGGAGCTTGACACGGAGATTGTGGGGACACCTGAACCCCCCGGAGATCGCCATCGGGTCCTGTATCCATGACTGTATTCTGTGTAGTCTACATATGCTAGAGATCTCTAAAACTAGCCCAGTTGGTTTGCGATGGTTCTCAACAGTACTTTTTTAAAGTTAAATGAATCATAATTAATCATGTATAAATATGTCAACAATTTTATACAAAACACGATTGAAGATAGCTTCGAAGACGAATGTTCTTGTAGGTAACGTAAACTTGACTATCATCTAACTGAATATTACAAATTTAATTTCTACTGAGACATAAATCAACGGTCAAGTTGTTTCTGGAATTTATTAACATAGTAAAATCGATGTAAATTTATAATGGTTTTGGTTTTGGAGGAA